TAGTGAGATTTCTTTATAGTTTCTCTATATATTATAGTAACATTTTATTGAATTAATTTTCTATACGTGCATGTAGTAAAATTAAAGATGGGGTTTTTTTTAATTTTTCAGCTTTCCTCGAGGTCCAGTTAGGTGTACGGAATGGATATCAGTCATAGCATGTCAAAGGTCCGAAGAATTCTTCGAGCCGACCCAAGGAATCGTATGTTTGAAGCATGTTTTAGAAAGTGATGAATATGTGACTACGACTTACAACTTTCTGTACATACTTTTTATATTTAGTAACTAAGTATTGAATTTTGATTTAAGTACTTTGTCAAGCAATATTTTTAAATTTTTGACACAAGATGAAGAATGAATAAATAATTATGACTGTTTCAATTACTTTCGTTACTAAATAAATGTGATGTCCTATCCCAAAACGTATTTACATTCAGGTCAATTATAACCATTACACATAATGCATCATAGAATAGAATAGAATATGCTTTATGTATATCAGTTTTTAAAATAATTTTGAAACATTTTAAAATTAAAATAATAGTAACAAAAATATTGGGCAGTTCGACTCCAATGATTCCTTGCCCAAGCTACGAGCCTCGGTCGTAATATTTGATTGATTTTTATTAGCACTTATAATTCTGACTTTAAAACACGTGTGTAAGGTTGAATTTGTTTTGATACAGGTTGACCAGCCAGTATCAGTCATAAAAATTTATTGCTTTTAATACGTATCTTTGTGAATACAACTATAGGCAATGTATTTAAGGTTGAATTTACATAAATATATATTTATTTCAACTAGAATTACGTCACAACAATTGGCGACAGTTTTTAGAGAACTTTTGTATGGGATTGTGTATCTAGTTCTTTATTAGTGATCGATGAGTGTAATATATAAATCAATGCGTGGGCGATGTCATTCTGCCCGACCGACGAACCGCTGCCGCTGCTTTGCTCTTGCCATCCCGTACCCCCCGCTGCTTAAGCTACGCGTGTTCGCATGTTCACGCAGTAATGCCACGAGCAACCTATTTAGTAATCTGTGGTGCAACCTTGTCTACACTAATAAGAATAGATATCTATGAGACACAACATCCACTTACCATTGGATGGACTGTGTTCGTATACCATCGTTATTCTATAAAAAAAGCTATGGTCAAAGGATGAATAAAACTTAAATTTAAATATAAAATAATTTTAAATAGTTAATGGATGCGATGGAGTTGTTATCCAGATTACAGAGGATTATTTTATTTCTATTAATAAGCTAATATAATAAATACGAACGAAGCACTTCAGCCCAGCTGGAACGGTTGTTGATCCCTTTACTAAAAAACCATGGGTGAGAATCAATAAACTCTTAGAAGGCGGTTTGGCCTGCCGCATCGGAGTTTAATTTTTTTCCTTGTAAGAAGTTGTCCGAATTCCGGAAAAATGGTAATCTGTTGGAGCAAGGTCCAGGGAGTACGGTGGATGTCGCAGACATTCCAATTGTAGCTCATCTAACTTAGTGGTTGTTTGTCGTGCAGTGTGTGGTCTTGCGTTGTCGTGAAGCAGCAGTGGCCTAGAGCGATTGACCAATCTCGGTTGTTTAGCAGCTAGTTCTTCCTTCATGTTTTGCAGTTGCTGACAATAGATATCTACCGTAATCGTTTGGTCAGATTTTAGACAGCTGTAGTGAACGATACCGGTGCTAGTCCACCAAACACTGAGTAACTTTTTCTGAGTAAATTTTCGTTTAGGGCAGGATTTGGCTGGGTCTCCTAAAATATTAGTTACAGTTGGTTATTTTATTTATTAAAACAGATTGGAATCATACTATTTATTTATTTATACCACTATGCTACCGTTAATAGATATAATTTATTATTAACCAACATCGACAATTAAACTACTTATGTGTACTTCACCGCTAAGGTTCATAAATGATGAAAAATATATCAAATAGATTATTATAATTAAATAAATAACATAAAAATGAGACATCAAAAATTTTCCATCCACCGAACTCCACCCTAAGAAAACTTGTTTAATGGAAGATCAAGGTCGTTTAGTCGCTATAATCACAGTACCATAGTGCGAGCGACTGAATAGAGATATGAATTAAAATATCGCTCGCGTAGGTCATCGCCTGATCGGAGCGTATAATACTTAAATATGCGTAACGCTGAAATGTAATGGTCGCCACACACGGTCAGTTCAACTGATCATTCCAACTGATCGGTCCAAACTAAAACTGTTGATATTTTTTAAAATATTGGATTTTCGATGTATCGATAATTATAAATACATATATAAATATCTGAGTTTTATATAGAAGTTTATTTATACAACATGTAACAAAAACCCTGTGGTTCCCGTTAAATGTGTTATCAGAATCAGTATCCAAGCGTATAGAAATATTTTTTTTTCAAAAAAACACATTAAAAAAAATTATTTTAATGAAAAAAAAATTTTTTTTCAAATTGTATGTGGTTTTATTTCCTATAACTCACACGAGTATTGGTAATGCGGGGTCTTTGACTATCCTCTAACTCCAATGCAGAGATAATGAAACCACATACACTTTGAAAATTAATTTTTTTAAATTAAAATTAATTTTTTTAAATGTGTTTTTTTGAAAAAATTGTTACTATATACTTGGATACTGACTCCGATAACGCAGTTAACGGGAACCACAGGGTTTTTGTTACATGTTGTATATAAAACATACCTTGTGTAGGTATACCGAAAATCCGAGATTTTAAAAAATATCAAAAGTTTTAGTTTGAACTGATCAGATGTCTCTTCTTATTTATTTTTGAATTAATTATTACATTGATTAATGTTGTTTACCTTTAAGTATTATAGGTAATATAATATTTAAGTAAATTATTGAAACTATACAGTCTAACAACATTTTATAAAAAATTCAAAACAATTAAATTTTGTTAAAATACAAACCATCTGACAGCAGTGCGACGATTTTGTGAAAAAATGTTAACAGACACGTGAATGCATGTTTGTTCACACATACCTATGTGGTATTGCAACTACGTAACGTATGGTTGAAGCAGCAACAAAGATAAACAAATCAGGATATGGGCTCATAGTCATTTTATATCGATGTATTTCCTAATAACGATTAAACATAAAAAAACTGCGGTTGTCAACCTGCTATCCAAGCGTGGCAACTATAGCCGAAATCCCCCATATGAGGCAATCTACGCGGGAGGACTCTTCAGCAGTGGACTTTAATAGGACTGTAACAGTAACGGTAACGCAATCACGGACGAAAGCACGCATAAACGCACGCATGTAGACTGTAACGCTTGCACGCACTATAAAAAAGAAATCATCACGCAAATATATCAGATACTGTATGATAAATGCCAATGTAATACAACCGTGTAGCGTCTTCAATGAAGAAATTTCCTTATGGAATCTGCTCAGTGTCTGTTTTCCCACCCATTTCAGAAGTTTTTATTTTTATTTTCACTTTATTCAGATAGTTGAAATTTGGCATAGTTAATACGTGATTGACCTAGACATCAGATATGAGGCTAAAATTCGATTTTAAAATTGGATCTTTTAAACTTTGAAAAAAAAAGCTCCAAGTACCTCTGCCGGCAATTTAAGGCATTTTTCCTTAAAATTTTTTGAGGTGAAAGGATATTATTAAACATGAATTATTGTATGTAACATTCTTGCAAGCTTAATGCTACTGTGTTTCGTATGGTGAGTGTAGAGAACCGGAGACCCTTTTTACTGGAAACGAGGCATTCCATCTTAGTCCTCACGGGTGACAGCGCATCTGCATTTTGATTTGTAATCGAGGATAGATGTAGATGTCTATGGGTCACAGCAACCACTTACCATCAGGTGGACTGTGTGCTCGTTTGTCATCCTATCCAATAAAAAAATCAATACTTTAAAAATAGCTCTTTTTGTAATATCTTAAATAAGCAACATGAAGTGTTTCAAACTTGATCTTATAAATTGCCCTTGTGTATGATCCAGTGCAGCCGATAAAAAGTTGGGATGTTTGCTACACTTGCCACGTTTGGCAGCCGGGTGTACAATCGCAGTTTTATATTTATTGTTATTGAGTTGTTATCAGAAAGACGCTGTGCCCATCTTTTTTATAGTATAAGGGTGACAAACGAGCACACAGTCCATCTGATGTTAAGTGGATGCTCTGGCCCATAGACATCTACATTTATCTTTAATTAAAAATCAAAATGCAGATGCGTTGCTAGCCCTGAGGACTGAGATGGAATGCCTCCTTTCCAGTTCCTGTAAAAGGGTGTCCGGTTCTTTACACTCGCCATACGAAACACAGCACCATTAAGCTGCTATTTTCACTGGTCTGTGAGAACGTGCTCATACTCTGTTCGAGCCGACCCATTCGTGCTGCAGCCATAAAATAGCTGCAGCATGGCTTTACCACGTAAAGATATCCTGTTTCTATTTCCCTCGGTCGTCTCTTAAGATACGTTGATTTGTTGTAGGGGGTATTCTTAGGTTGCCACTACACAAAAAATAAAATGTGTATAATGTATAAGTAATCGTAATGTATGAATTTCCTAGTATCAATCAAAATTCGATCCCCTCTAGCACCAATGAAATTTTAATTGAAATATCAATAGAAGTTTAGAAATTATTGTATGAGTACTTTTGATGTGTGTACTACTGTCTGTTAAGTAGAATGGTTTTCCACCATAAATTATTTAAAATTTATATTTTTTATCAGATGCTTATGACCATCAAAATGGACAGAGTATAATTTTTAGTCTTTACGAGGGGAAGGGCTAGGAAATTATACTTTTAAAGTCCTTGATTCGCTTCTGCTGAAGCTATTGAGGGGGATCTCGCAACATCCTCTTTTAAATTGCGAGTTATCGTAATTGTTTCATTGTAACAGATTGCGCTTTACGTCTCGGTGGACTCACGTGCAGTTTGAATACAAGCACCCATTTGAATTTTGTGTATGAAATCGTTTCCAATAAACCAAGGAAATGGAGGAGGTCCAAGGCGATGTAAATAAGATGGTTTATCAGATGCAGAAGTTCTCATGGGTAGATTACGTAGTGTTTGTGTTCATGTTGGCAATAAGTGCTGTTGTGGGTGTATATTGGGGTTTCATGAAAAAACAGACCACACAGAATGATTATCTTCTAGGGGGTAGAAATATGCAAGTAATTCCCGTTTCGATGTCTCTAGTGGCAAGGTAAGGTTAAGATAGAATATTTTTAAAAATAATCAATGATAATAATTATTGTGTAAGATAGGATAGGGTCTTAGTTATACCTATGTCATTAAATTATTATTAAAATTAAAGAGCCTCAGTGCGGTGATCTATTTTATTACATTTATTGCCTAATAATTAAATACGTTCGCTCTTTAAGCCATCATGTAGCCAACAAGCAGTCTTTAATACTCCAGCACCAAACACAAATCAAACCTACCTCGCACTTTAAATTCTATTAAGGCTTTTTTCTATATATAAACTATAATGCCTCCTATCTCATTTTCTCCCACGTTAAATCTTATGAATTTATGTGTCTGTATCTTTTTACTGTCGCTTTTTCGTTTCATAGAATTTCAAATCACAAGGATACTAAAGAAGTTTTCACTTCAAAATAATTTTCTTAATAGCTTCTGAAGTATTGTATGTTAAAATAATTATCAATAATTTTGTGTAATAAAATTCTGTGCATTTAGGGAAGTCAACAATTCTAATCTTGCTAGTAGGGATGTAGTTTCGGGTGGTCTGTAGCTACCCATTGAAGTTAACTTTTTAGTGTTAGTTGCATAATTAGGGAGTTCCTCTTTATTTAAATTTATTATTAATATGCACAAATAATAAAGCACCTACATTAGTGATGGAACAGTTTAATACATATTATCAGGCAAAATAATTGTAATTTTTTCTTGCTGGTTGTTACTTGTTACTGTAACCAAATTTTAATATTTAATCTTAGATAAACTCGCAATAGAAAAAATTATTTTGCGTAGAAATAATACTCATACGTCGTCTTTTGTTTGATTTACACTTGTGCTATACTGTTGCTTTGCCGGTATTTCTATGTAAAAATGTTAAAGACTGAGCTTTTGGCATCATCAGCCTATGGTTTGCCAATCTTTTATAATTTGCTGGTAGTTTGCCAGTCATCTCGCACAGGCTTAATCCTAGAAGTGGAAGATGGAGTGATACTCCAGGATTCGTCTGTTATTACAGTTAGCTGCTTTTACAGTGTTACTAATCTTTTCACTGCATGAGACTAGCTAACATATTGCAGCTTTTTTTCTACTTCGCAGGAGCTTTTAATGAATCCATGATCACGTTTTGTACCATAGCATTAGACAGATGTATAATGTGAAAGCAGTTGTCGAGGACATTCGTCAAATTATGTATTTTTTTTAAGTTAGAGACGAGACGTTGTGATATGGCTATTATACGCAACTAACTTTAATTATGGAATACCGAAATAATTAATGGTATAAAATGAGTAAATTAAATAAAATGTAATTTGTAAGACGTGCTTTTTTGGTATTGTTTATTTTGCGTGCTGTTAAATTAAAACTAGATTGACGGGTTTATGTCACCATAATGTGTAATAAAATAATATTCTTATCCGGCAGCTTCGTTTCTGGGATAACGCTTCTTGGTTCACCGACAGAAATATATATGCATGGAACACAGTATGCTTTTATAATTGGTGGAATATTTCTAATGTCGATTGTGATGACTCAAGTCTATTTACCTGTTTTTCACGATCTTAAGATTACGTCTAATTACGAGGTAAGTTTTAATAATATTATAGTATTATATAATAGTTAAAAAGTAGGACTACTTTCTTTAATAACAATTAAATTCTCTTACCACTCTCCAAAACGGATTTCATACAACTTTTTGCTCACCAAAAAAAATATAATAATAATATTATTGAAAGATTTTTTTGAATTTTAAATACTCATGGACGAATAAATATTTTTTATTATGCGATTTTCGAACGTTTAGCAAGAATCATACTTATTGTACGTTTTTCAGTATTTATCGATGAGATTTGACAACAGGGTTCGGTTGTTTGGTTCAATACTGTTCACTTTTACACTGGTGAGTATAATTTAGCTTGTAAAACCTATTAAGGAATTTATTATTTATAATTTATTTAAAAGAAAAAAATGAGTAAACAAAGTTTTATAATTGCAGATAGGCTGGTTACCAATCGTCATTTATGTTCCTGCATTGGCTTTTAATCAAGGTAAATACTTATAATTTTTATTTTGTTTTATTGAAATAGTCTAGTGCTTTCGCGTAGATCGTTAGTAGCGAATGAACCTAAGCTTATAAAAATCACTACGTTTTAAACTAACTACACAAGCTAAGCACTAGACTATTACAATAAAACTAAAAATAAAATACCCTTACATAGTATAAGTAGATCACCCCAGAACCACTTAGAATGCTCAATGTCATTGTTTGTGAATACAGTAAAAGTCAGCATCATCGGAACCACACAGTCAGTCGAGATTATATTCAGTAATCTATGGTCGAGACCTAACATCCGTCACGTTCGGGCATCCCTCGTTTTTTTATATAATATATTGTACTTTATAATCTAATAAACAGTGCTATTTTCTTTAAGTTCTTTTTAAAAAAGTATTTCTATAACCTCGACCTGACATTTGGTACTAGCGGCAAGGTATTAAAAAATGAATAAAATCCCAGGCAACGTCTCAAAAAGAGTTCTACTTAAATTGGGAACTCGTCATTCAAGACTGAAATTCACGCGACCTTCTAACGTCATTCAACAAGATCGTCGGCAAAAATTTCATAAAGTCTATAAAATCGAAGATATATAAAGAAGAACCCGCACTCTTTTGTTGATCCTGATGTCCACTGTAAAGTAAGTGGTCCAAGGTGTCCAAAGTCAGCAGCGCGATTTTCTTCCGAAGTACTCTGGTTTAAGTACCGAGAGCGGAACAACGTCTAGCCTACAAGTCCAGTCTTCGAGTCTTCAAATTCCAACCGTAAAATAAAAAATTCATTATCTTGAGTGCTAGTTTTAATACTAAATTGTAATGTTCTTTAAAAAAATTCTTTGTATTTCTATTTAGAATTTTTGTCATTTTTTATTATAATATTTATTAAATCCTGTTATTAATAACTGTCATAGTGCAATTAGTCTAGCTTCATCATCACAGTAACATATTACCCATAGTTATAAGTATAATTAGGTAATAAGTATAACTCAATGTGATATGAATATGTATGATGAAAATGCAAAGCCAAGTGCATCCTCTATAAGAAAAGTTGACGAATTGTCTACTTCCCGCGAATATTTAAAAACAAACTATGCGAAACCCGACTTATAATTATTATCAAAGGCCTCAATTTAATCGTCACTCGTTGGACAACAAGCAGATCTACGAGTAACTTTTACCACTACTCGTATTGTAACTGAAATGGAACTGTCTTAAAAGCGGATATAATACAATTTTAACGCGAACCGTCGTTCTATTTCCCTTCCGTCTCAAAATCCGGTGCACCTTGCCATCTCTACTCATAATTTTAATAAAGATCCTGAAACTATTCCTAATAGCGTTTACGAAATCGACATAAATAATTTAAATCTTAGAATAATCAATTCTAAGATTTAAATGCATACATTTTCCCGTCAGGTTTTGCACGGGAAATTATTCGCGTGAAGGTAATACTTACACTCATTCGAATTTTTACTCAAATAATATTTTTTATATTATTAATTCGACTAAGGGAATCACATGACATGGTAATCAGCCCTAAATTTAAGACTCTCTTAAAATAAATATAGGAGCCATGTGACAGGGTAACCAGCCCCAAAATGAAGGTTTCCTAATTATTTAAATCTAATAACACGACAGGGTAATACCACTACCAAGGTGAAGGCTCATAATGAATGAAGTATAATCACGTGACAGGGTAACCAGCCCCAAAATGAAGGTTCTTTTATAAAATCTAAGGAGGATCACACGGGTACCTACCCCCAAATAAGCACTTCCACATCTAGTTCTCTAGAAGACTACAGGGTCACAAGCCCCAAATAAGTACTTTAAAATCTATTAACGATATTAAACTTTGTGAACTTACTAAATTCTGATAAAAGATTTTTAGCTCAAATAATATTACAAAATGGCGTTATCTTTAAGAAAAGGTGTGTTTAAAGTGGACTTCAAAATAGTATAACTCATTGTTGTGTCTAAGTTATAAATTATTGCTATTATTGTTCGAAAGGGTACATTTGACAAAAACAAAACTTTCAAAATTGTAACATTTTTTTCTCTTGTATTGTATCTGACTATTGAGGTTTCATAAAAAAAAACAACAAGACAAGACAAGATTTATCATAGTTTATTTAGTTTTCTTTAAAGTATCGTGCACTGTCGATTTTCCAATTCTCGTGCGTCGTGCTATTGTGTTCTCGTAGAGGTGGAAGGGTCTTGCTCAATTTCCTCAAGCACCATAACTTCAATGTCAAGACGAGGGATTCTTCCAGTGCTAGTACCACCAACACCACTACCAGGCATTCTTCCTTCTGAGTAACAAACATGGAGTTCTTTCCCTATAACGAACTGCGGCTGCAGTTGCATTGCCTTCGCATTCCCCATAATTAAATGCATATTTTTTAAAATCTTTATTGCGTCGTCTTAAAAAAAAGGATACAAAAGACGGACTTAATGCCTAAAGCCATTCTCTTCCAGCCAACCCATGGAGTGGTGAGAATTTGTAGTAGGTGTAGCAATTAAAAGAAAAAAAATGAGAAACTAAAATTAATACACATTATATGTAACAAAACAGATCATTATATAATATTGTAAGTAAATACATATATATCCGTACATTTACATATATTAACACATATTCATAATATAAATATGTTTATATGCTAATAAACATATAAATATACATAAATAATAAGTTAATACATACGTATAAATAGGGTAGACCGAGGCGAATCGGATCACTTTTTGTTTTATATAATGTTATTATTGATAAAAACGTAAGAAGTAACAATCAGCTATGAAATAAACATTTGAAAACTTAAATCATACATATATTCTCTTAATTAGCTATTAAAAACTAAAAAAAGAAAAATATCCGAATCGCCCCAATTTTCGGGGTGAATCGGATCGTACACATGTAGGTAACAAAATTTTAAGTTTCTTATGACTATAGCTTTGGAATCAGTAAAAAATTAATAATGAGATCAATTTTAATTATCGGCACATAATTCACATATATATGGTCCTTTTTCCTCCCCCATATCAGCACATTTTTCGTGGCACCATTCTTCGCAGGCATTGCACTGAATCCAATCCTCTGATGGTGGATGAACGAATATTTCGGAACAGTAAATGCAGTGCCACTCTCTATGTTTTGGAGATGAACTCTTAATTTTTATCGCAAGCTTTGCTTTATTCTTCATTTTCTTTATAGTATTTTCTTTGCCCACAGCCTTTTCCTTATTTTCCTTGGTTTTATTGTCTACCTTAAATTTCTTCTTTGCTTCTTTTTCGAGAAGAGTAGTCTTATTCTGAGGTGATGTTAAATGCAAGGCCAGTTTTGAAACTTTACGAATTCTTTTAGAAGCAATTGGTGACTTTAAAGGTGATGGAAGAATTTCTTTAATTATTTCTGCACAGGTGGGAGGCTGGGCTTCGTCAGATTGTTGTGAACTTGTGGATGGTACTATATTATCATGTGGTTTTGTATTTGTGGCTTGCACGTGTAGCTGCATTTTTTGGGAACTTGGGGACTGGACTTGGGACTCTACAATGTCCGACTCTTGATCACCGATGAACTTGTGGTCAGGTATTGCATTGGCGTTTAGTGGAAATATTCCAGTCTTTTCGAAGCCTTTTGTAGCATTCCCAACAGTGGCAGCCTGATTCCAAGCCCGTTGGAAAAGTGCTCCGAAAGCGACTTTTGTGATTCCTTGATTGGGATGTGAATGTTGCCATGCTGTAGCTTGTTGGTGATAATAGGTTTTGAGCGGTTTGAAAAACGATACATCGAGCGGTTGCAGGGCATGTGATGTGTGTGGAGGAAGAAGTACAAGTTCAATTTCGAAAGAGTCACACAAGTCTACCACTGAGTAGCTGGTGTGAGACGCATGCCCATCCAAAATTAGAACTACTTTTCCTGGGGTCCGGTAGCGATTGAAATGTTGCAGCCACAACTTAAAAGCTTCTTCGGTGACCCAGCCGTTTTCTGTCATGGCAACTTCAGTACCAGGTGGCATACCTAGGAGAAAATCGTCACGTTTACGCACACCTTTGAATAGAACAAATGGAGGTATGTACTGTCCTGCTGCATTCATACAGGCTAGAACGGTTACATTTTCACCTCGTTCAACACTAGTCATGCTGACAACATCTTTAGCACCTTTTTTGGGCTATAATGTTGGGTGGGCGGTTACTAAGCGGCATACCCGTTTCATCAACATTGTATACACATTCAGGTTTTCCTCTTAAATTGTTGTTATCTACTACTGTTTCCAAAGTATTAAAGAATTCTGCTACTTTTTCCTTCTTCATACCATCACACCTTGCTCTTGACAGACCCTCCGGCTTCCGAATAGTTAATTTTTTTATTTCTTTGCATGAAGCGATGAAACCAGTCCTGGCCAGCCATTCCAGCATTTCTGTCAAATTTGTGTTTTATGTTTTGACGTTCTGCAAATTCAAACGCGTACTTACGTACCGCTTTGGGTGTAATTCCGAAGCCACGACTTGCCAAGTGCAATAGCCGGTCAGCTAACTTCTTTTCTGCGTTCTCATCTAAAGCTGGCTGTCCACCTCGACGCTTAATAATACCCCTGGATAAAGTAACTCTTCTCTGTAAGCTCGTGAACGGTACTGCAAAAATCTCAGCAGCCTTACGTAAGGTCAACTCTTTGTTCTGGACTTTATTTACAGCCTCTTTCATTTTTTCTTGAGACCATTCTTCGGCATCAGTCTTTCTTCTGTACGTGCGAACCATCTACAATAAAATAAATATAAATCAATAACTTCAAACATGTCATAAATCAGTTTAAAAGTGTGATCCGATTCGCCCCTGACGATATGATCCGATTAGCCCCATAATCAAGACTTTTGAAATAAATATTTTAGACGTTAACCTCTAAGATCATACTTAAAAGCGAATTGGTTCTCTAATATAGACACCTTGCTTAACAATATAAACCAATATAGTTGAGTTATAACACAAATCCGCAATATGACACAAAGAAATCGTAAGTACGTACCTTAGATGAGCGCCAAAATTGCGACACACACAAACGACCGAGTCGCTGACTAGCGGCGTCGCCACTGATTCACAAGTGCGATCGAAATACTGCCTATGTCGGGAGGTGCGGGGTGAGAGGAGATACGCAAAACGCCGGTTGAGTGCGTTCTATGTGAATGCGATATTTGAATTATCAACAGATTTCTTATTTTGATCCGATTCGCCCTGTGATCCGATTCGCCTCGGTCTACGACTATTTAAAAATATTGTCATTCTAATGATTCTTCAGTAAATTATCGCGTACCATCTTTTTTAATGGAGTATTTGTTAGGCGCTTTTCTGATATCATCAGCAAGAAATTCCAAAGAGGTGCAGCCAGAACAGTGAAGGAGTTACCTTAGAATCCAGTGAGTTGAGTAGGAATATACATCTTGTTGTTAGTGGAAGATCGAATAACCCTACTATGACAGAAGAGAGGTATTGAAATCGTTCTTTGAAGTAAGGAGCCGAATGTGGATCATTTAGAATTGAAAAAAGAACAAGTAATATTCTGGAGTTGCTCCTTTGCACTTATGCTGAGATCTATTATTATGAGACATATGGTCATACTTACGCAGATCAAAAATAAATCTAATAAAGTTGTTAAGCCAGCGCTTCAGTTTGTTAAGAAGTTCTTGGGATGTGTCTGGGTATCACACATTTGTCGATGGTGTAGATTGTATAATTAAAGATGGGTAAAATAAGAGTTTGGATAAGCATTAGCTTAGACTTAATGGGACGGAAGTATTCGAGACGATAAAGGAAACGTAAGGAAGCAATGTCTTTTCGACTTAAATCGGTAACCTGCGCTTTCCAGTTCAGAGAGCTATCAATATACAGGCCAAGGTTTTTAACAGACTCACTAAATGGAATAATAATATTATCATAGCACATAGGAGGTAAGTCTGCTTGATTAACCCTAGCCAGCAACCTTTTGCTGCACACTAAAATCGCTTGGCATTTTACTGGATTCACACAGACTATAGCGCGAGGACCAATCTTTAATTGTATTTAAATTCTGGTTTAATTTGTGTATTCTTTTATGTCGATCTTCAACGCCACAATGCAAATATAGCTGCAGATCATTGACGTACAAATGGTACGAGCAATCAAGATTATGAGTGGTCAAGTTTATAAAAACTGGGAAGATGATAGGAGAGAGTACACAGCCTTGCGGTACGCCACTTACAATTTCAGCCCAATCTGAGGTCGTTTGACCTTCGTGAACTGACTGCTGACGTCCGCGAAGATAGGATGTAAACCAATCTAAGACAGTGGTCTTAAAATTAAGATGGGATGGGAAGGAAAGAAGGATATCATGATCAACTGTGTTAAAAGCATTAGAAAAGTCAACTAGCACTAGCACTGCTGTCTTTTTTTTCATCCCTACCTTTCCTAATGTCTTCAGTAACTTTTATTCAAGCAATGGTAGTGCAATGACCTGGACGAAAACCGGACTGAAATGGACTCAGTAGGTTATATTTTAAGGTAAAGGTAGTGATTTGCTTATGAACACAGGCTTCTAAAACTTTAGAAAGGAATAGCAGATTTAATGTAACCTTAGGAAGGGGCTTAACATAAGCCTTTTTCCAATGACTAGGATATTGCCCCGAGTCAAGGGAAAAATTTATAAATGTGATTTATAGCCGGGAGAAGAGGATCTAAGATAGTGACGACCATTTGTCTGCTTATTTCATGTAGTAGTATGAAATGTAAACATTAGATTTTGAAAAAAAAAATTGGCTGTAATTTTTTATTTGGGTTTTTATAAATCTAAGCCTCTGATTGGTGTAAGGGTACAAAAGGCTGTTTACCTTGTTTGAAAAAAAATCATGGTCGCAGGCATAATAATTTGGCTGCAATTGCGAAGTTTGGGCTAAAATGATTTATACTAAAATTTTTCTAAAGTCCAAATAACTTTTGATCCATTGAATATCGCTAAACATACAGAGGGGTTAAATCGATAAGTACTGAGGTCCTCCACCCCCCAGCCACCGATGATCCACCCCTCTAGTTACACGGTGTATATCCTGATTTCACAAAACCATTTGTCCTCACTTTTGATTGGTCGAATTATGCTGTTTTCGCTATATTATCACGGAAGAACGTAGGCAAAGACTGTCCTGTTGCTTATGCATCGGGAACTCTTAGTATAAGCGAATGTAATTATAGCGTTATAGAGAAAGAGTGCTTAGCCATTTTATTCGAAACGAAAAAACATTGTATGGTCACTGCGTTAAAATTGTCACCGATTATAGGCCTCTTAAATGGTTATTCAATTGTAAAAATCTAAGTTAGAAGTTCGTAAGATGGCGCTTAATATTAGGACAGTTCGACTTTTAGGTTAAATACACAAAGGGTAAAACTAATAGCAACCCCGATGCGTTATCTCGCTATCCTCGTGTTAATCCTATTAACAACGAGAATCCTCACCATAAACCAAACTCCGGTTCTCAATCTCAACTTCCTGCTTCATTAGAAAGCATCCAAAAATATACCCTTATCGCAAATTCCTTAAGACACTTGAGGTATCCAGACCGTATTCACGATATTATTTTTAATCGTATTTTTTATTGATCTTAATATTATATCGGCATTCAATATATTTAATAGCGAGCATATTATAGAAATAAATCATTTAACATCTACATTATCTGTTTTATACATAATACATGTAATATTAAATAATCAAAGATATAGATACCAATACGTATTGACTTCATGTTTGATAAAGTAACTATTTTATTTATTATTATTTGTTCTCATGTAACACAAGTTCTGGGTTTTTGACGTATGTCATCTACAGTTTAATAATAATAATTCCCGTAAAACAGGTAAGGCCTAAATTACCTAAATAAGCGACGGAGATTACTGGTGCTGGTATCGCTAATCCACGTGCGAAGCATAGCTATTACGGAAAATCTTTATTTTTGAATAGGGTTATCATGTAGGCTGCTTATAGGTTGACCATGAAGAAGAAGCAGTTGTATGGAGGTACGTCCCGTTGGTCTAGTAATCTTAAACATGATTGATGATAATGAGGGACCGGTTTCGAATCTAGCGTCAGGCCAAAAAAACATAATTTGGCTATATATATATATATATATATATATATTAAATTGCCAGTAGATACCCGCAGTTAGGAAGTTGACGGTGTTTCACCACCGTGCCTCGGAAAGCACGTAAAGCCGTTGGTCTTTCATCTTGTATCTTTCCGGTCGTGTGGGAGTAGAGAGTGAATCTGTGCTTGCGCATACACTTGGGCACTATAATCCTGTCCTGCGTTGATGGCTAGTCTCCGTTGAGGCTGGCTGCCGTGACCGAAATTCAGTCTGGAGGACATTGTATTATAATGTGAAGTATTTTGATTGATCTTTTTTGTTACAGTTACGGGTGTCGACATCCATATCATAACTCCAATAGTTTGTTTAGTCTGCATATTTTATACGAGCGCCGTAAGTATTTATACTTAACTTACTGAATAATATTTGATTTTAATATTTTTTATAATATGATATTTGATCAATCACTCAACAGGGTGGTCTGCAAGCGGTAGTATGGACTGACGTTATACAAATAACTGTGATGTTTGGGGCAATGGTATTGGTTGCGATTAAAGGCACGTTGGATGTTGGTGGTGTGGGTGTCGTATTGCAGCGTAATTTGGACAGCGAGCGGATCGAATATCCAAAGTATATAAATTCAATTAAAACATTTTGTATGCAATTTTAAATGTGGAATCGCATTTTTTCTGACGCTATGCACATTAAACTATGTATATGAGATAAACCGAACAGTGACCAACCAATAAACTTAGTAAACCTTTTGCTTAACCAATAAACTGCCTGCTAAACAAAAAAAAAGATAAAATAATTTAGTTTTCATACTCGAAGTGCTCGGCTCGGCTGCAACTCAGCTTAAGTTTTTTTTAATACGAGCAATATTTGCGTGGTATGTGGATGTTGTGACCCATAGCTACTTATTGATTAGACATCAATAATAAATGAGTGTTTCCTGAGAGCTAAGGCGAAATGCTTTGTTACCAGTAAAAAGTGTCGACGGTTTTCGTTATTCAATATAATTGAAACACAGCAGCATTACCCTGCTATTATACACCGGTATTTTGTTAAAGTAGGTAGTTCACAGCAGAAAAACCAGAAAACTAGCTCAAGTGGATATCGAGCGGTCGCGAAATCGTAATGCCTTGGTTCGCGTCCTGTCTTCGGTCCGATTTATTTTCCTTTTTTTTCAAGTTCCCTTCTTTTGTGAAAAAATCGATTGTTTCGAGCCCTTTTATTAGTATTTTTTTAAAATACGAAATGTTTAACTAAACTAATTTCACTCATGATTTTTTATTCAAATAACCAGTTCAGTTTTTTCTATTATGTCAATAAGATCAAAATTATTATTCATCAATATGTAATTTGTATCCTAAATGTATTTTCAAAAAAAAAGCGTCTCTTTTCATTGGACGCTTAATTTTAACTTTTTTACTTTCATAATTTTTATTTCATCTTCGCACTCCAGCGCTGTAAAAAAGTATGTAAGGTGATATTAGAGAAGGAACGATGAAGGTATAATTCATTGTTACAGTTTCTTTCATATCTGAGAAGAAAAGCTTTCCTAACTCTAAGAAAAAAATAATGTTATTTATAAAATAAGTAAATTTCGCGACAATCTTTAATTACCATATAAATCGTAAATCGTATAGGTAATGTAATGAATTGACGGTTATATTTAATTTAAAGTTTTTTTTCTTCTTTTTAGATCATTTATTTAAAAGCTTTTTTTAAAACTGTTTATTTTACTATTAACTTATTTTTTATTTTCTAGTCATCGCTGAACATGTTTATAAGTCTGTTCATTTTATTTAATGCGTCATTGTTGGTTTTTGATTGCCAGCAGTTGACCCTTGTCGGTCTTTACAACTTTTGTTGACCACGCTATACTCGTAGGCCGAAGTTAAGATACGACCCCGCTAAGTCTTACCATTTAGTCGGGCATTAGTACACCATCTCCTGGAAGAACTGAACGCAGATGTCATTTTATTCGGATTCTTCTCAGCGAACCCTTTCATTTGATATCCATATCATGGGGGTGTATAAAAAAACATAGACTTAGATCGGTTGGATCTAGATTTTTTCAACTACCTAATCCTACCATCCTACCACCTATCTCTAACCTTTGATGATTTAATAGCTGTTTAAAATTGGTATGGCAGCCATTTTGTTTCCCGCCATTGTGAGTATTTTTCACCACCGCCCGAATTTACCCGTAGTGTAAGTCCATGTTAGTTAAGACACGACCCCGCTAAGTTTTAGTGTTTAGCCGAGCAGTAGTACACCAACGCCTCGGAGTGCTGACGCGGACGTCATTTTATTCGTAATAATAAATCAAACCCTTTAATTTCATACCCATATGATAGATAAGAAAAAAGAAAAGTCCTTTAAGCTATGTCTTCATTTTATTCGTAGTCTTTGTTTTATATTTTTTTTCTGATCAAAATATGCTGATACGTCACTTGTGAAGTTTTTGGGAGATTTTGACGAGCTCAACCCAGCGGACAGTCGATGACGACAATTACTAAAATTTATAAGGCGCCTAAGCAATCATAATAACTGGAGGTTTATATCAAAAAACGAAGCACCTGTTTGGTCGCTTTCTCTAATAATGGCACTATTAGAAAAAGCCCGCAATACAGAAAATAACAATACTTTTACGAATCAAAATCCACTTCAAATCATTATTTAAACGATAAAACAGGAACAACAATCCGTCGACGCTCAAGTTCTCGCGAAAATATCTGATACCTATATCATGGGAGTGTATAGAAAATACCTAGTCCGTTATATTGGATTTAGAATGACTTCACTTTACCTAACCCTGCATTGCCATCCAAATTAATCATGTATGCAAAATTTAAGCTCAATCGGTTGAAGATAATTGCTTTAAAATTCCTTTAGAAATAACAATTCACAGTGGGAACAGTTTTAAAAATGTTTATTATTTTCAATTACAGTTGGGATCCTAATCCGACAGCAAGGCACACAATATGGAGTCTCCTGATAGGTGGTCTGGTTTATTGGTTGCAAGCAAATTCTGTCAACCAGACAATGGTGCAACGTTACTTAGCACTCCCCACACTACGAGGAGCCAAATGGTTGGATAAATTTATGTTCTAAAAAGTAAAAAGACTTCATGTTTTATGTATTCGAAATAAATTTTATTTCTAGGACAATTCATGCATAATTAAATTTAAATTATACCATTATTTAAAATGTACAATTTAAATCACATATCTTAATATATTATATAAATTACGTTTCGCGTTATTGTCCGCGATGGACTTTTAAACTACTTAACCGATTTTAATCAATTTTTTTTTAATTTGCACACCGTGTGCAGTTTGGCCCAACTTGAGAGATAGGATAGTTTTTTTTGCCCATGAGTGACCCACAATTTTTTTTTTTGCGAAAAAAAGGATTTTTAATAGGACATGACAAAAAGTCGTCGAAAAGGGCAGAACAACGTCTGTCTGGCAAGCTAGTTATAATATAATTATTAATTTTGGTATTAAAAAAAGATAATTAAGAATTTCAGTAACTTTTAATTACAACTACGCGCACGGTAGAAGCTTTTGTATGGCCTAAAATATGTGTTTTAGGTCTAGATATTTGTCCATGTGCAATTTATGAATGTTAATTTTATTCCTGAGCTTGATATTTAAAAAAAAAGAATCATACTTTACACAAACGGAATTCTCACTTACTACATACTTTGTACATTTTTGTGCAATGAAGTTTAAATTATAAATACTCAATCTACAATCTACAACAAAAGGTCAATAATTCTTATTTGCTCTTATTTTAAACAATTTACTTTTTTAATTTCAGGTCCGTATTTTTGTTTTGTATCGGTATATCTGTTCTGTACTGCTTATGTATCTATTGTGGACTACTTATATATGCTCGTTTTCATGACTGTGACCCACTGCAAACTAAGGTAATTATTGAATTTACCATTTTACTCCTTTAGTACGTGCAAAATAGTAAATTAATAAGAGATTAAATATAACCACATTCTTTTTCCAGTTAGCGAAAGCCAAGGATCAATTGTTACCTTTGCTAGTGATGGATGTTCTTGGTAATATACCGGGATTACCCGGTATATTTGTAGCTGGTATATTTAGTGCAGCTTTGAGGTATTTCTATAAAATAATATAGATATGTAAACAAGTAGTTATTTTGTCATGAATTTACTTTTGTCGAACAAAATTTAACTTTTTTTTTCTTTTAGTTCTTTATCGACAAGTTTGAATTCGATGTCGGCAGTCGTGTTAGAAGACTTCTACAAGCCATTTTTTAAGAGGCAACTATCAGAAAAGCAAATTAATTGGTTGCTAAAAGGGGTAGTTGTACTTTTGGGTTGCGCTTGTTTAGGTAAGGTTTTTTCTTTAGCGGCAAAATCTGTCGATTATATGGTTTAGTGTTTATTCATTAGAGCCTACCAAAATCCACCGTTGGACATAGGCCTCCCCTATAGATTACCTGATAGGAGGGATATTTACCAGGCAGGCGGGTTGGCATCCGCAGTTTTTACTATTTAGAGTTGTTTTTAGGAAGATGCTACTGCTCGTCCCCTGTTTCAGTTAGTATTGCTTTTACGACTACCGCGGGATGATATTAAGTGGTGCATTTTCTTACACCGCCACTATTCGATGATATTTACGAAACATGATTACTTACTTATAGGTGTTAGGTTCAAAACTTAGTCAAAGCTAACATTTGTGAAAAATCACATATTTTAGTTTTCTATGCTGGATGCATTATTGTAAATGGTTGCTGTTCCCTTATCCCTGGATTTATTGCAAAACATGTTGAATAAACTAGCTACATGGAGGTTACTACTATATGAATCGATGTAAAACACGATCAATTCAATTGAAATAATGTAGTCAAACAACGTTAGCTCGAATATAAAAAAACTCTAACTTAAAGGTCTTTATTTGCTGCCATCCAAAATATTATATTAATAAATACAAATATTTAATTTCTATTTTATTTTTACTTATCGAAATCAGTCAATTGTAAATTATGCTACAAAATTAGCGTTCAATGTTATTTTTTATTTTTCCGTGACGTCTAATAAATCGATGAACGTCGGCTGCACGCACGAAAAAATATGACTCACTGTAACGTTACGCTCATTGTAACGTTACGATACTACTGCACGAGCGAGCGAAAGGCACGATTGGCTTGAGCGGTCGGCTTGCGCCGCATCTGTCTCTCTTCCACAAAGTATGCAATCATTTCATCAATGGTTTGTTATGACGTTGTCACGTTAAACTATCGTCGGTAAACCGACTTTACAGACAAACCAATTTTTTCTCCTAATAATTTTGGCTCACTTTACGTATATTTCACAATCTTTATTTGCACGGCTACACCAAGACGAGGCTTATATTTGATCAAATATTATCAATTTTTAAGTATGGTCCTTGATGATACCAGAAAGTTCAAAATTATTTCAGGTTTGGTTTTTATCGTTGAGAAGTTGGGAACAATTTTGCAACTTACTATGACTTTAGAAGCAATGACGATGGGTCCTCAACTCGGAGTGTTCACAATGGGCATTTTAATGCCTTGGGTAGATGCAACGGTAATTATTTTCTAAAATTATTATAATTATTTTCAGTTAGTAAAAATGTTTTTTCTTTTTTAATATAATTTTGAAGGGAGGTGGTAGCTATGGGGCTGAGCGCTTGCCTTCTAGTACCTACGCAATTTAGTTCGAATCCTCTAACATTAATGAAATTTGTTATTGGCGGTAAAGGATCTGCGGAGTAAATCTGCATGTTCAAGAAACTAAATTATTTCATGAACTATTAAGTAAATATTTATTAAATGCATGAAACATGCATTGGGCCTTCGCAGCGGATTTCCTTCTCTAAAAACCTGTTTAGGAAGGAGAATAAGCTTTTGCCCAGCAGTGGGGTATGTATAAGCTTTCTTACGGTACTGTATCTTTTTTAATTCTTAACCTTTTTTACTTAGTCTTTTGAAGATCTTTTTTATACAAAAAAACAGTAAATGGATATTAGTTGGTTTTTTAAAGAGTATTAAAAAGTATTCTGACGCCGAATTATTAAACATATTATTAGATACTTTCAAGTGGCTTTATTTTGTAGTAAGCAATATTGGAACTTAGGACCGGGGTTAAAAAATGGTTAAAAACATTAACCTAACAAAACTAACCCGAAGATAACAATGTTTAGAAAAACTTAAGAAAGAGAATGTGAAGATTATTTCCAAAGCTATATACTCGTAATATACTAATTGTACGAGTATGTATGATAAATTTCTTTTGCACTATTTCATCATTTCGTACGACAGCCAATTGCGTATTGCCACAGAATAAATAATAGTACTAGGTACGTAGTATTGCGTCGATTGCACGGGATTGTTTCCGACGATAAGAGTCAGTGGCCTCTTTCAAGTAATAAAATGTGTAGGCATAAAGGTAGAACGCTTGAACTATTGATGCAAGCAAGAAGCAACCTTTCGATAAATATTCTAGTGCTTTCTGGTCGAAACAGTGGAATGACCTGGATTTGCCCATAAAGTTCATATTCATTTTATCAACAATCAAAGCGTGTGCTGGAGAGCGGAAGATTAGTTCTTTCGGGAACGTGAAAGTGAACTCCACTTCGGAAAGCGACTACAAGAATTACGGCCTGGCCACGACGAAGCGACAGGAGGGGCGACAATTCGCGCGGCGCGATTTGAGGGCCACGGGCATTCACGTTTGCCGCCGCGACCAGATAGGCCGAGAGTGAAATGTCTTTATCAAAGTTATCTCGATATTGCTTAGAAAGTAAGTATTTATTGATTCAAGACATACTATTTGGAAGAGATTGCGGAGTACATGATTTGAATAGGAATCGGGTTATAAATGGAAAATTTCACAACAAATAGAATGCATCTAGAAAAAAAATTCGAGTAAATACCAGAATGAGTGTCGAAACCTGCGATTATATTCAACCAGAATTGGAGATAAAAGTCAATACGGATAGAATTTTAAGTTGTTTTTGTCGGCCCGGCATTTTTCGCGGCGAAAACAACTAAAATATTTTGTTCCCTATATACTATTCGCCGCGTCTGCCGCCCGACTCTGTGGCTTGCGCCGTACTGATTCATACATTTGTTTCAGTCGCCCGCCGCATCGCCAGTCGCCCGTCGCATCGCCAGTCGCCCGCCGCATCGCCAGTCGCCCGCGCGATCGCGTCGCCACTCGCCGCTACGCGTGGCTTGATCCATACATTTCTATACATTTGTTTTAGTCGCTAGACGCCCCCGCGCGAATTTTCGCTACGGCGAATGTCCTGTGGCCAGGCTGTTAGACCTACGATATCTGCGATTTTTAAGGACATCAACGAAGAAGCTTAGCGATATTTGACGACGTATTTATATACTTGCTATGTATGTGGAAAAATACATCATTTTTGAAGTGAAAACTTCTTTAGCGGCGTTGTACACTTTTTTATAATAGATAAAAAATGTTAAACTCGCGTCAGGACACGTGACCCTGATTGAAAATTCGTAAGACGGATGGAGAGAGAGAGACAGCCGCCGCGGCGTAGGAGAGGAAGTATCCCTCTTTCTTTCTACGGCGCGGCGAAAATCTATGCCTGCGCCTGCTGTTTCGTTTAGGCGGCGCAGGGCGCTTGCGCGAATGTTCGTGTGTGATAATTAAAGCAATTCGTGCAAAATTATTCCCTAATCGTTCCAAAATATCAAAAATGCACAACGTTAATATTCATGTTTTCACTTCTGCCGGCACTCCCGGAGTGCAACCCGTGGTTTTTACATCTTAATCGGCGGTACTCACCCCGCACGTAACAATATATTGTATGAATTATTTCATACTCATATCATTATCATTAACATCATCATCGGTTTGTAATCCGATCCTAGATCGGGCCAAATCAGTTATTGGGTTTTTCTGTCAAGAAGTTTTCAGTAGCAGTTCAGAGTTACGAAAATTGGCGATGTTTTGTACCCGTTTCGAAAAAAAAAAACACCAAATCTAGCTCCAGTCCAGTTGGATTGCCGTCTTTTCGGATTATGGGAGTGAAGGAATACAGAGAGCAAAATAGAACTTAAAATTACAAATAACGATTTCATTGGTGCCGGTGGGGAACTCGGATTGATTACGTGCTGGAAAATTTACGAGCGCTTAATCCCTGTGCTATCATGGCTCTCACTTCTACTAATATCTAATCTTATATATTACATAATATTTAGCATCGTTGATGTATTAGGGTTTATTATTATTATTTAATATATAAATTCGAACATTGTTGACAGGGGGCTTTAGTTGGCGGTGTTTGTGGACTAATAACGATGGCTTGGTGGTGCTTGTCCGCACAACTAGCCATCGCACGAGGTCAAATCGTGCATCCTCACAAACATCTCACTACGGATGGTTGTCTATATAATTTCACTATTGCGGATCCTGTAACCCAGTCACCTGAAACAATGTGAGCATCACTATTTTATTCATATGTTATAATAGTAAGCGAAACATTTCCTCTCACAGTCAACTAGGCAATGGTAATGATGGTAACATCTTAAACTTGAACAATCGAAAAAAATTATTTGCAGTTGTTGCCACCGAGTGCGAATACGACTCTTAACATAAATGTTAGACCGAATTTACCATTGACTGTGTAGAATATACTGACAACTCAGGTACTTAGTGTCTTAGTTACAACATTAATATACTTTTTATTTTATTTTATTTTGTATATACGTGATAGAGCCACGCTACAGCTATATTATGATTGTAGCACGAATGGGTTAGCTCGACCGGGGTAGGACCACGTTTTCGCAGAATACTAGCTAGCTAGCTCCAAGCAGCTGCTGATTGCTGCTGGGTTTTGTATGGCGAGTGTAGAGAACCGGAGATCCTTTTTACTGGAAACGAGGCATTCCATCTTAGTCCTTAGGGTGAGGATAAACGTACCATCAGGTAGACTGTGTGCTCGTTTGTCATCCTTGTTCTATAAAAAACTTACTGATTAATGTTTTCATCCCCGTAACACATAGAAGTATAATATAATCCAAGTTGTTGTGTTGAAATTTTTACATACCGAATCTTTTGAGAGTGCGCTTATTTATTATTATTATTGCGGTCGACTGGTCTGCCTCGGCTCAAATCGAGTCACGTTCACGCTGCGCGACTAGAGATGAGTGGGTCCAGATGGATACGAATCCATGATCCTGCATCCCTCGTATCCTTGATGGATGTGCATATACTTGCAATTCGAATATCGATCCAAAAGTACTGAATGCTCTGACCGGAGTTACAGCTTACATCACACAGGTACGCCGCCGGAGCTGGGACATGAATAAAGAGGCAGTAGTATTTTGGAACTGATTTGCAGGCCGTAAAAACTCAACTGGGTCCGATGGACACATATGGGCCCGACGGAGACATATGGGTTCGACGGACATGATTCCTAGATACTCGGTATGGGATTCCCCTGACTCGAGAGCTTCCTATATCTTTAGTACTGGATCCACATTTGGACCCGTACTTATCGAAGTGGACGAGAAGTAGCGAAAGAGCGCAGCGGCGAGTCGTTCAATCGAAAGCTTCGATAAATATCTCGATTGATCAAGGAGTCGTAGACTCGATTATTATTTTGCTCAAATTGATATTCTTTCATTTTTTAAACTTTCAACATATCAAGACCTATTTCATATTCATCGTTATTATTCATCTATTGAATTTGAAATTACATCAGTAGTAAATCATTGCGTATGTATATAACATCTACTTTACGTTTTTAGTGTTAAGGTGAATCCAGTACTTCATGTATCATACATGTGGTACACTCTGTCCGGCGCAGTAGTTGCCATGTGCATAGGTTTGATTGTGTCACAAGTAAACCGAATGCGGGGTAAAGTCCATGTCCTACCATCGCCAAAACTTCTCGCGCCACTGTTGAGAGGGTTGTATCGAGAACCACCACATCCTAGCGATGAGCCTTACATCAGTGCTTTTGATAGCAAGAAGGTAAACAATTCCATTAAAACACCATAATAATCATACACTTGCAATTGTGTGTTAGTAGCTTAGTAGTTGTTAAGTAAACAACTTTAACAAAAAATATTGGTGAAAACAAACGTATATATTTTTATTTTGTTTAAGTATTCAGATGTGTGTGATAATGCCTCATTTTTAATTTTTAGGAACGTAACAATATTAAAAATCCTACCTCAATAGATATGAAGCCTATAAATGAGATTGAAGAAATTGGATAAAAAGATATTTGATTTCGCAAGGAACTTTTATACATGTAATTTATGTAATATACTTAGTAAAGTGCTTGCAATTACTTGTATTTTTATTATTTACACAACATTTAGTTTATTGTAATAACTATAAAAATTGTAATCTGCTTTAGTACAAGTTGTCAAAATGCGCGTGACCATAACTAAATTTGAAAGTAACTATATTCTTGACCAACCATACACGAAAGCAACTTTTCACTAGCTCGTAAAATCCGTGCATTCCAATATTGGATGCGACTGCAATATAATCTCAGTACCAATCAATGGCAGCCTCCTATTAAATAATGTTGCAGATATAAGCTGCAATTTTATTTAATAAGAGATTGTAATATTCCATCAAGCCATTTCTCTCTTTTTTATTTTTTTTAAACTTTCCTCCACACTAGAATTTTCTTCTGCATCGTGGGACAGTTTACGTACATAAATTTTACAACACACAACAACGAATCCAATACCATTCCTAATCCGTGGGGATTCGAACCCGCGGCCCTTAGCGCTGCAATTCATTGCTAAGACACTGCGCCACGGAGCCGTGATGCGAGCATTAGTCAGAGGCTGCAAGATATTTCAGGCGTTTTCTTTTCCTGCTTCTATTAAAATAAGGATAATTGATTATGACTGATGACAACCGGATACCCCTTATTACTGGTATCGAGGCATTTCATCATAGTGTATTATCAGGTGGTATATGCTATCAATTGTGTTCTTTACTTCTATATATAAAAAAAGTCTTGCACGAAAAATACCTCTCGACCATCGTCGTTAGTTTTGGGAAATTCTCCTAAATTTGTCTCATTGAAACATTCTTGAAAAAACCAATATTATCTAATAATGAATTACCTAAAAATCATAAGCATAATCGTTTTAAACTATCACCCCTGCCACTCTTTAATTACCTAAAGGTTGTAAGCAATAGTTAACAATGGTCTATTTTAAGTAGTCAGAGGATATCGTTAATAAACTTTTGTCCATAAATAACCTCGTTGCATTTGAGTAGGAAAATCACGCACAGTAATTGAAAAATTGCTTCCGTAAGATTAGATACCGTCCACGTATCTTTTTAGGGTCATGAGAATCGCGTGTTTGTCTACTAATACTTAAGACTACTACTCATATTTAAGATATGAATTTCTTTCTGATTTTTTTATAACTTAAAGAAACAAACGAACTTGCAATCCACCCGATGGTAAGTGGATGGTGGCTATCGCAGTTCATTGACAACTGCAGCTAACTTGAAACAAAGAAGGATACAGATGCGTTGTCACCTCTATTAGAGATGTCTTCCATTAGTGAAGTCCTTAAACAACTAAAATGGAATGAATCGCAGCTTGTAATTGCAGTCCACCTGATGGTAAGTGGATGGTGGCTATCGCAGTCCATTGACAACTGCAGCTAACTTGAAACAAAGAAGGATACAGATGCGTTGTCACCTCTATTAGAGATGTCTTCCATTAGTGAAGTCCTTAAACAACTAAAATGGAATGAATCGCAGCTTGTAATTGCAGTCCACCTGATGGTAAGTGGATGGTGGCTATCGCAGTCCATTGACAACTGCAGCTAACTTGAAACAAAGAAGGATACAGATGCGTCGTCACCTCTATTAGAGATGTCTTCCATTAGTGAAGTCCTTAAACAACTAAAATGGAATGAATCGCAGCTTGTAATTGCAGTCCACCTGATGGTAAGTGGATGGTGGCTATCGCAGTCCATTGACAACTGCAGCTAACTTGAAACAAAGAAGGATACAGATGCGTTGTCACCTCTATTAGAGATGTCTTCCATTAGTGAAGTCCTTAAACAACTAAAATGGAATGAATCGCAGCTTGTAATTGCAGTCCACCTGATGGTAAGTGGATGGTGGCTATCGCAGTCCATTGACAACTGCAGCTAACTTGAAACAAAGAAGGATACAGATGCGTCGTCACCTCTATTAGAGGTGTCTTCCATTAGAGGAGTCCTTAAAGGACTAAGATGGAATGAATCGCAGCTTGTAATTGATTGGCTTTCTATGTACCCTTTAGACCGGATCACAGCAGTCCAAGCACTGTTATTTGGGTAGTTGGTACTTACCCAGATGGACTCCTACGTGGAGAGTCCTGCCACCTAGAATGTCTATGAAAATATCCGCAAACGAGATGCATAAATTACGGTGTTTTAACATAGGTATAAGATTGTCTTTTTAAGATCAGTTCTCGTACTCAGACTATGCCGTACCAACTTTTGCCCGCAGCTACGCTTTTGTTAGATTTTTTGGGGTGAGTCTCATTTGCTTGGAAAGGGGTTGCACATGGTTCCATACAAGTTTGGGCCCGGCGTGAACAAAGTTTAAATATATCTTACTTTGAAGACTTATTTTTAACTTATTTTAAACATTTGCCAATTATGTCAAATAATCATATTTTTGCAGGAACTGTTAGGTTTGTAGGTTATGCAGTTAAATCTTTCATTATTGCAGAAGTTGCTTAAATAAATTGAAGTGTACACAAAATAATGCAGTTTTGTAGTTATTATTGAATAAAGTAAAAAGTAACTTTTTCATTATTTAATTATTTTCTTTACTTATTAACAAACTGTTGAAAAGCAGCTGGAGACTGTACATTGTCTGTTATATTTTCTCTTTGTCTTGTGTGGGCACAATAACCTACTGTCCTTTTACCGACCTTGCAGTTACGATAGCCATTTTTTCTCGCCTTCTAGGATGGTGTATCGCCGATACAGGGACGCGCCAAAGAAGAAAGTTACCTAATGTGTTATGTTTATATATATATTTTAGGTTAAATTAAAAAAAATATTATTATTGTTATTTTTCTATTAAGTTTTTAATAAGTCAATAGATCAAGTCTACATACATCATGGAATCATAGAAAATAAAAAATAGCCCTCATTATGGAGTTTTGGCGGGAATTTTACCGTCGGCGGATTGTAGTTTATTATCGTTTAAATAATGGTTTGAAGTGTATTTTGATACGTTTAAGTGATGCGATTTTGTGTATTAAGTGTCTGCGCATGTGAAATATTAGAGAAAACTACGAAACAAGTGCTTCGATGTTGATATAAACCTCAAGTTACATTAATCGCTTAGGTGCCTTATGAATTTGAGTGACTGTGAAATGAAGACATGGCTTAAAAGAAAAGCATCCAAGCCGAAAATTTTAGTAACAAAGCCGTCATTTTCCGTAGATAGAGCTCTGTCTACGTTATTTTCTATTGCCATAGACAAAATACAGAACATATTTAATAACGTTTTGTTTCTGCTATAGCAAAAGCATTAGCTTTCGTTTTTTAGTTTCAAAAATGTTCTTATGTTGCCAGTGCAAAGAAAAAAAAACCACTTAATTATGCCTATAATTTATCGTTTTATTCCCTACGAATTTTTGTATAACTGTTCCGTACAATGTCAAACACCCAATTTCGTTCATCTCATTTTACATATTTTTAAAAATTACCAATATTTGATATATCAATCAAATGAAATAACATGTTAATTTATACAATTAAATAAAACTTTAAAAAATATATAGGTGCGAAGAGAAACGAGAAAGAAGAGCTTTTGTTTTAAGGTGACTACAACGAGAGTCGAGCGAACGAAGCGTGTGTGACGCGGCAGAGTTCTGCAAAGTGGCGAAATTACGTGGTACCTACTTACTTGATACTAGAGCCAAGCTGCAGCTATATCATGGTTGTAGCACGAATAGGTCGGCTCGAACGGTGTAGGACCGAACTCTCACAGAATACTAACGTAAAATTAACGCTGCTGTGCTGCGTATGGTGGGTGTAGGAAACCAGATACCCTTTTTACTGGAAATAAGGCATTTCATCTTAGTCCTCAGAGGTAACAACGCTTCTGTATTTTAATCCTTAATCGAGGATAGAAGTTGATATGGGCCGCAGCATCCACTTCCCAGGTGGACAGGATAATCTTATTTATAAAAAAGAAACGAACTATATAGTTGCCGCTGTTTTTTTTGAGTCGTTGCTATCTGTGGCCTTACATTGGACTCCTGACTGGGCGGGGGCTTTGATGGGCTTTGAGAGTTGTAGTGGTTAGAGGATATCTTCTACGTGCGTGCGGCGTGCGTACTGGCAGTATCCCTTCCTTGGGACTTAGAGACGGAGTTTTTGCCGTCCATATTCTATTATGCTTTGAACTCCGGCTCCAAGATCATCCCTTACCAAGAGCTTTGGAACTAAAGAAGTTCTAGGCTCGGCAATTTATGCTAGAAAAGTGGAAAGAGCGACTAGCCCCATCTCTGGGCTAGGGCTCCCCAGTGCCAGGTCCTTCCACTTGACCGCATCCAGCGCAGAGCGGCTCGATCGTCGACAACCGAGTGCTTTCCGATTGGCTCGATTCACTGGTGCTGCGAAGAGATGTTGCGTCTCTTCGCATTTTCTTTCGCATCTACCACGGGGAGTGTTCTGAGGAATTGTTCGGATTAATAGCAGCCGCCAAATTTCATTAACGTACTACGCGGCATAACTCCCGATACCGTCCGCACCATCCGGATGCATGGCGGTCAACCACTGTACGTTTCACTGGGAGTTTTCTTCCGCGTACGAATTTTCTGTGGAATAGTTTACCACCGGTGATTTTTCCGGACCGATACGAATTAGGGACCTTCAAGAAAAGAGCTTACTCTTTTCTCAATAGCTGGCAACATACCTGCAATTCCCCTGGTGTTGCCACCGTTCATGGGCGGCGGTAGTGATTTAACATCAGGTGAACCGTATGCTCGTTTTCCCCGTCTCCTATAATAAAAAGCCGAACCCGTGTCCTTGACACACTTATTCACAGTAATGCGCATAATTACGTTGACTAATATTTTTGTGAATATTTTCGCGAAAAAGGCCTCTATTGTTTTATTTATTAATTTTTGTGTAATTAGGATAGTAGTTAGATTGTAGTACTGCGATATAGATGCTTTGTTTTGTTTTCGTATTATAATCTAGTAGGTACGTTTACATATCTTGCG